CCTGTAATTAGATTTTAATAATTTTGAATTCATTAGAATTGCCTCATCAATACAAACATTTTGACAGTTAAATCATCTAAATCGGACCAGTAGATCAAAAGTTATTTAATATTAAAGATTTATAATATATATAATTTATATATTATATATTTTGTATATTTGATTATATATTATATATTATATATATGTGTAACGTAATCACTCAGCTGGACCATATATCCATAGTAAAAATTACGTAATAAATGGCATGCCCCTAACTACTAATTATCATTATATCAAATCATTCATTAGTATTAATTATCTTATTTAACTTGTAAATGTTGTGCCTTAGACTAATGCTTACTTCAGATCACAGCTGACATACCTCAGATGCAGATTATGAGGTGAGGTATATAACCTATTGATTATCATTTAAGCTGCAATCTAACAAAAATAAGAGTAAAATAAAAGACTTTTTACTTATAGCTATTTTTATAAATTCTGGAACATCTGGCAAAAAATTGACTGACCAAATATTTGCTAATTCAATAAGGGTATAGATATTTATTACCTAATTTTTTTAGAGAGGGAGGAGGTCAGAGGATTATCAGATGCTATATAATATAGTATTATTAGCCAATTAAAATTGTCCAATATCTATACTATATTATAAAAAAATTCCTGTGTAATATTTAGATGCAAGGTAACGTTTAGAGTACTCTATATAAATAATATTCAATTGTATCACATTAAATATCTATGTATGTAATTACCCCATAATGTGCTTTCGTATTTATTTTTACTAACATGCTTTATTTAATAACATGCTTTATTTAATAACACACTTTATTTCATAACACGCTTTATTTAATAACACGCTTTATTTAATAACAAATAGCAATTAACAGATTAAAAAAAAAAAATTAAACTTTAGGGCTATTTCCTCGATTTAATCAAAGGAATTTCGATTGTTATATACATTCATATTTAGGTTCTCATAAAAATGGAATCATACGTCAAACTTAAATACCTTTTATCTACCAGAAAATGCTTTGAACAATTTAGGTATCTACCTTCTATTGCTCTTTAATCTACAGCAATATGCTTTTAGCAACTTAGTGCCAATTTTTACATTATTATACTTGTATAAAGTTGAATATAAGCCGATCTATTCTCAAAAGCATCATTTCAAGTAAGCATCGCTTCTATTTATTTTAAATCATGTATCAATATTAAATTCATTATTTGCTAATATACTAAAACTATTTATAATTTTACAAATAATGTACTTTTTTAATGCTATATGAACGTATTTTCACCAATTTGGGCCCTGAATAGAGCCACTAAATTCGGGTTCAACCTCTTATATAATTTCTTTGATTAGTCTAACGAATTATTAGGATGACTGTTTTTATTTTTTGTAGATCCATTTTGCAAGAAGGATTTAATGAATATACATAAATCCATTAGATTATCATCTAATTTATTAATCTGGGCATGCAGTTTGAAATTGTTATTGTTATAAGTAAATGGTAAAAATTAACTTTTCGTTTTAATCTTTCAGACAATTGTATTGTCAATAACCTGTTTCACTATAAAAATTTTTTAGGGTACTTTTACATATTGCCGCAAATTTGTCCATACCGATATGCGTACCTTTATTAACATGTAATTCACCGTCTGTACCATAATAACATAATTTAGTGGGTCTGTTTGTTACTGTATTTAGTTTATTTTTTTTAATGCTTTCTTATTTCAGTTATTTAAATTATGTAGGTAGAGATCAGGTCAGTTTGTGTATATAAAGTAAGTGTTAGAATCGTTACTTCTATAGTATATTAGTGATATTTACTATTCTATTTACCTTTTTTTTTTTATTATTCAGTATTAAAATACATTAAAGTTCGTAACATATTAATTTAGTGCGTATCCACATTTCGTACAAGAAAAATAACCATTTTAGTTTCAATTCTGTCGTAAATGTTATTGCGTGAATATTACCGTTGTGCACTTTCTAAAACGCCCACCTTTCTTACTGTTCTTAATAGCCGATATTCTATTATTTAAACCTGAGTTTTTCAAACTCTGTTCACAATGCATATCGGTTTTGGTCAATTTGACAGTAAATAATAAATGATAGATTTGCTAAACATCAAATAAATTGAAAAGCTTGCGTTTTACTAACAGTTCGAATTGTTCATTTACACTTTAAATATAAAATCTTAAAAAAATCTTTCTAAGCAATAGTTGAAAATAAAAAAAGATAGCATCCAAATTTAAATACACGACTAATTTATCAAGCACAATAAATTAAATTTCACATAAACAAGTGAATATCTATATTAATTGAGGCATACCGAATAACATACGAAAGTGGCTAAATCTAATATTGCACTTACCATATTTACGAACCAAAACATCATTTTATAAATATTAGGTTAGAATATAGTATTAAAATCCAAAATCACCTTAATACGTATACCGGTAGAGGTCGGATCCTTTGAATATCCATCATGGCTATTCAGTAAATATTTGCGAGCTTTGGCTGTTCGTGAATAGCATTGGACGAATATCTAGATTTTGATGGATACCCATGCTATTATTTGTAAATGCGAATATTCACGTGAATATTTACGAATATACACGGATCAATTATATTGATTACGAACCCTCGACTATTCATGAATTTTATGTAACCGAATATTAGATATTCAATGAATATCCGTTTCTAACCGTAAATATTCATGGATCTAGCCTCTATTTACCAAGCATGACCTGAAAACTGACAGAAATATGATTTAGTATACAAAATAAAATAATCTTCAACAAATAAATTAAAAAAAATGTAATTTGGAAAGAATATCCATTTATGGTGTTATTTTCTTATAAAGTCGGAGCTATAATAGAAATAGTATTTAAGATGCTAGAAAATAATTAGAAAATTTTATTTTAATTTTTAATAAAAAAAATTTTGACTTTAATAAAGACATTCTGTACTTACTTTTCTCTGAGAATCCTAAATAAATTTAAGTGAATAAAGTAAATACTTAAACAATAACATTTAAAACACGTGAATAACAAAATTACTACGCGTCATGAAAACTATTCTATATACTATTTACCCCAATTAACTCCTAAGTATCAGTGCACAGTTTACTTGAAATAATGGAAACAGTTGAGCAGCGTCAAAAAAGACTTGCCAGAGAAAGGCAGAGAAATTTAAAAAGGAGAAGAAAAGTTATTAATGCGAAACTAAGAGTGGAAGTAGATATCACAAATATGATAGAAACAACCCTAAATAATGATAATATTAGGTCGGTAGAAGCGGAAGTCCCTATTACTACAAATAAGACTAATACTCAAGTTAATCGAAGACGAAATTGGATAACGCATTATGAGTTGAGAAGGATGGATCAAACATGTGCCTATTGTGAGGCTAAATTTTGGATGAAAGAAAAAGATCATAGTAGTAATCAGAGATCTTCAACATTTGCAACTTGCTGTGCCCATGGCAAAGTTTGCTTACCGCCCTTACTGGAGCTTCCATCATATTTGCTTAATCTATATACTTCATCTGAATCTACTGCCAATTTATTTTGTAAAAATATTAAAAAATATAACAATGTTTTAGCTTGCACATCATTCGGAGCCAACATTGATGAATTTCAGGGGAGGGGTGTCTTTAACTTTCGAATTCATGGCCAAGTCTATCATCGTATTGGATCTTTATTACCAGAAGAGAGCCATGCACCAAAATTCACTCAATTATACATCTACGATACTGCACATGAGAATCAAAATCGATGTAATATTATGCAAGATTTAGATGAAGGAATTCTGCAAAATTTACAAAATATGCTTGATCAACACAATCCCTACATTCAAAATTTTCGTCAAGTGAGAGATATCATTCAGACAGACCCAACTATCGAAGTTTCATTGCTAATTCATGGCGATAGAACGAAAGATTCTCGCCGATATAATATTTCTATAGCATCCGAAGTAGCAGCTATTATGGTTGGTGACGGTCACGAGGTGGATCCTTCTAATAGAGATATTCTTATTAGATTGCGTGATGGAAATTTACAAAGAATATCAGAATTACATCTCTCATACGATCCTTTTCATTACGTATTATTATTCCCAAGAGGCGATAACGGTTGGCATGCTGAAATGCCTCTCACTGGGTCTTCTATAAGAGAAAGAGTAACTGTAATACAATTTTACTCTTATCGATTACAAATTAGGGATGAGGGTTGGCTACATCGTGCTGATCGGTTATATCAGCAATATGTTGTTGATCAATATGCTAAAATGGAGCAAAATCGCTTAAATTATATTAGATATAACCAACCGTCACTTCGAACTGAACTATACAAAGGTATTGTGGATACTATACATGCAGATGATGGAAGTAACAATATCGGTCGTTATATAATTCTTCCATCATCATTTGCAGGTGGGCCACGCCAAATGTATCAGTTATACCAGGATGTTATGGCCATTGTATGTCATTTTGAAAAGTCCAATCTCTTTGTAACTTTTACTTGCAATCCTAAATGGCCAGAAATTACAAGGGAGTTATTTTCTAACCAAACTGCTGTAGATAGACCTGATTTAACAACTCAAGTGTTTCATATCAAATTACAAGAACTATTAGAAGACCTATGCCACAATCATCGTCTTGGTAGAGTTATTGCGTATATATATGTTGTTGAATTCCAGAAATGTAGTTTACCTCACGTGCATATTCTATTGATACTTGTACCGGATGATAAATTAAGGTCTACGGATAATTATGACTCTATTGTCTCTGCTGAAATTCCGGACCCTGTACTACACCCTCTTGCATATGAGACAGTGTCAACCATGATGATGCACGGCCTATGTGATATATCAAATCCAACCACACCATATATGAAAGATGGTGTGTGTCAAAAATGGTATCCCAAAAGTTTTCAAGAATATACTCAAGAAAATGAAAATGGATACCCCACCTATCGTAGGCGGCAAACAAATCGTTTTGTTGAAGTCAATGGAATTAAATTAAATAATATATGGGTTGTACCGCATAACGTCGAATTAGTTACAAAATATAACGCCCATATTAATGTTGAAATTTGTAGTTCTATCTCAGCAGTTAAATATTTGTACAAGTACGTTTATAAAGGTTATGATCGAACAACCATTACTCTTTTTCAACTTGGTAGTAATGAAAATCAAGGGGCAACAACTGAAATTAAACCAATTGACGAAATTAAAATGTACCTTGATGCGAGATATGTTTCGGCTTCAGAAGCAGTCTGGAGAATTTTTCATTTTAAAATGCATGGCCGTTTTCCAAGTATACAAAGACTTGCAGTACATCTTCCGGAAGAGCAGTATATTCCTTTTCAAGACGGAGAAAATCTTCAACATGTTTTAGAACGTGTTAACACACATAGGACGACTTTAATGTCTTGGTTCCAAGAAAATACAAATAATGTCTCAACGCATACATACATATACGTCGATTTCTCTGCTCATTATACTTAGGATCTGTCTCAACATAAATGGAAGCCTTGAAAAAATGCAACAGCTGCTATCGGAAGGCTCTACATGGTACAACCTTTGGAAGGGGAAAGATATTATCTAAGAATCTTACTTACCTGTGTGAAAGGTGCTACTGGCTTTGATCATTTGAAAACTGTAAACGGATATTTGTGTGCAAGCTTTAAAGAAGCTTGCATTCGCCTGGGCCTTCTTCAAGATGACACCGAATGGGATGCATGTTTATTAGAGGCAAGTAGGGTACATACAGGACAACAATTACGGCATCTCTTCGCAACAATTCTTCTTTTCTGTCAACCGCAGAACCCTGAAAAAATATTGTAGAATAATCACAAAGTGGCATTGTGTGAAGATATTTTATATAGAGAACGTCAACTAACACAAAATCAAGATAATATAATAAGTGAAAGAATTGAATGGGAAGCACTTCGTCAATTAGAATGCTATCTTATGTTAAACGGTAAATCATTAAAAAACTTCCCTAATATGCTATTACTTCCAGAAAGGATGCTAAATTCTAACTATAATGAAGATTTAGACCAATTAATACAGAAAGAGAGGTCATACAACGTCATACAGTTAGCAAACGAACTAAACCAAAATGTTCCTCTATTAAACAAAGATCAACGTGTAATATACAATGCTGTAATACAGGCTATTAAAAATGAAGCCAGGTGTTTCTTTGTAGATGGTCCAGGTGGTACTGGCAAGACATTTCTGTATAATGTTCTGTTAGCATATGTCAGGTCACTTGGAGAAATTGCTGTAGCAGTGGCTTCTTCTGGAATTGCTGCACTTTTAATAAGTGGTGATCATACTGCACACAGTCGATTCATGATTCCACTTAAACCAAATGAATCTTCAACCTGTAATATTTCGCGCAGAAGTAAAGAAGCCCGTTTAATTAATGAAGCGAAGCTTTTTATTTGGGACAAAGCTCCAATGGTCAATAAATTCGCATTTGAAGCACTCGACCGGACTTTTCGTGATATTGTTCAAGTAGATAGACCGTTTGGAGAGAAAGTCTTCGTTTTTGGGGGAGATTTTTGTCAGGTACTTCTAGTTATACCACGTGCATCTCGCGCCGAAGTTGTCCCTGCAAGCCTCTGTAAATCATTTTTGTGGAAACATATTAAAGTAATGAAATTATCGATTAATATGAGACTTCGACAAACTGATAATCATGATGAGAATCAGAGACAAAACCAATTTGCCAATTTCCTTTTAAAAATTGGAGAAGGTAAGTATCCAATCATTCCAGGCACTGAAGACACAATAGAACTCTCCTCAAACATAGCGATACCTAGAGCGGAATTGCCGGATCTTATTGACTTCATCTACCTCAATTTGGTCAAAAATTCTCGCAATGTAAATTATATTGTTAGTAGAGCTATTTTAACACCAAAAAACGATGACGTTGAGAATATATCGAGTTTGATAATGGATCGGTTTCCTGGAGAACTTCATACATATCCTAGCGCAGACGATGTGAGTTTAATGGAAGATAGTAATGCAGAACAGTCTCAAATATATTCACCAGAATTCTTAAGATCTTTAAAAAGTTCTGGCCTTCCACCTGGTAAATTAAAATTAAAAGTAGGAATATCTATCCTACTTCTATATAACTTGGACACAGCACAAGGACTTTGCAATAGAACTAGGCTAATTTGTTGTGGGCTTCAAAGCAAAGTTATAGATGCTGAGATAACTACAGGAACATATATTGAAAAACGCGTTTTCATCCTTCGAGTAACTTTGACGCTGTCAGATACAGATTTACCATTCATTTTAAAACGGCGTCAGTTTTCAGTGCGTGTTGCATTCTGTATGACCATTAACAAATCACAGGGCCAAACACTTGCACAGGTCGGTCTCTATCTACCACAGTCAGTTTTTTCATACAGCCAATTGTACGTTGCTCTATCAAGAGTAATTTCTTATCGAAATATCAAGGTTCTTACCTCTGAAAACTCAAATGTGAGCCAAGACCGTCAAACAAGAAATGTTGTATATTATGAAGTTTTTGCCTAAATATATTCATAATTAAAAAGTAATGTTTTCATAAATACTTTGCTTAAGTTTCCTGTTATTTTTAGATTTAATTATCCCTTATTTAATACAGTAACCGTAATAGATGAAAGATCAAATAACAATGAAAAAACCAAATTTCAATGTATAGATGATCAATCAACTAACCGTAACACAATCGTGATCGATTTCTTTTTTCAGCGAATCTAACATTTGTTTAATATGTGCGTGAGTATTACGACATAATTACGCTAAGTCGAGAAAGTTTTTGGACGATTACTTACTAGAATACCAATTACTTATAAAAATCGATATATTTTTGACCCGCCCAAAATGATTTTGATAAATAAAATACCATCAATTGGTATTAGGATTAGTGATATAGTAAGGGTAGAGATTTAAAATAAGTAACTATACTAATCTTTCGCAAGAAATTTTTTTTCGCTAGAACACAATAGATAGTTTCATAAGCGAAATTTCAAGATAAAAGTGAATTTTAACATTACACAATGATCATTCGTGTAAATTCAATGTAATGGACGCTAATTAGATAAAAAGCAGAATTTCTAAATCGAGCAAAGTACATAGATGTACTCATTTCCAATTATTCGATTAATTGGACAGTTATTAATACATGATCAATATTAGTGTCATTTTAATCATAATTCTGAAGGTTATTTGCTGTCTGAGTTTTAATTTGAAAAACATGATTACAAAATAATAATAATAAGATATAAATTATAAGGTAAATAAGAACTCACATATCATTTCATAGATATGCGTGTTTGCGAAATGATATAAGACCACCTAATATTTATCTAGAATTATGATTCGGCATTATATCTATAAAAAACTCGAATAACTAGCACTTACACATATAAAGAAATTTTTATTAATCAATCTAGCACCATCTATATTGTATACGTAGTCTAAATTCAGTCAGGTATTTTACGTGATATAAAATGATCTGCAATATACTAAAAGGTTACGTATTCCAAAACCGATTTAATTTAAACAAAAAGCATCTTTATTATCTAAAAAAAAATAACAATTAGTGTTAAAAAAAACTTTTGCAAAAGTTATTCTATAAATATGTAGTCTAAAAATTTTGTAATTTTCTAAGACTTTTGTATACCAAATAATAATATAGCCAATAATTAATACAGATTTCATACTATAGAATTAAAAAAGAATTTTTTAATTAAAAATCTTTGAGCCAAAAGAAAAATAATTTGTTATATAAATTTAAAAAATCTTTAACTAAAATTATCTAGAATATTATTATTAAGTTTGCCTATATTATACTTTAATATTGGTTTAATATCAGTTAAAATTATATGAATAATGCTAGCCAACTATTATAGTACCCAATATATTTTTAAAGATTAATAATAGTTTTAAGTATTGTAATAGCTAATTCAAACTAAATAATTATTTAATATTTTTCCCGTTGCATTGCAACGGGTTTATAGCTAGTAACTATATAAAATTTTTAAAATTACAAATAGTTAAAAGTAGATTTTGCTTAATTACAAAAAATTTTATTAAGTAAA